GATTGTCTGGTACCCAAGAGGCACTCAGGGAACAGTAACTAATGTTGTTACTCACACACGTCAGCCTGAGGTTACATCAGAAAAGACCATCCACCTAATACCCTGGCCATCAATTGTGTAGTTTTGTCTTCATTTCTACCTCAGTCACCAATCCTATGGCCATACCCTCAGCCCAGTCTTTTCAATAATTGTGTTACCCCCAAACACCCTATGTCACCCTCCAAACATTCCACTCTTTTACCTCTACCCAATATATTCCTCTGAACACCTGATTTCCTATAATCTCCCACCCCACTGAAACCTCTGATCCATTATTTCATTGAGGAAAATAGAAGCAATCAGAAAAGCACCTTCACAAGCTCCTACCACCACATCTCCCCCCTCTTGACATCTTGCTCATAGACTCTGCCCCTCTTCCTGCTGCAATGGACGAACTGCGTGTGCTGCTAGGTCAGTCTCACACCTGTGCACGGCGTCCAGCCCTCTTCCCTGATCAGAACCTCACTCCTGCAATCATTCTTTTTTCCTGTGCCATGAATTTCCCCCTTTTCCCTGGATCACTTCAATTGCAACAATTATACTATTTCTCGTATTTGAAATGTTCTTCCTAGACTCCTATTCTCCTTCAACCTGTTTTCTCTGCTCCCCTTTATTTATAGTGTCCTTCCCTGGCGTTTTCTCATCTACCTGAATTATAAATGCTGGAGTGCCCCAGAGTCTAGTGCTCAGAATTTTTCTTTTCTTTTTTTTTTTTTTAATTTTTTAAAAATTTTATTTATTTTATTTTTATTTTTTTATTTTGTCAATATACAATGTAGTTAGTTATTGTGTCCCATCACCAAAACCTCCCTCCCTCCTCCCTCTCCCCCCTCCCACCCAGATGTGTCCCCTCCATTTTCTTGTTGTAAGAGCTTCAAAAAAAAACGTAATAACTTCGTATAGCATACATTATACGAAGTTATCGCTTATAAATAATTAATAAATCTTTTCTTTTGAAATGTCTGTCCAAATCTATTACCCATTTTTCATTAGGTCCTCTTTTTATTATTGGTTTTTTTTTTTAATTTTAATTTTAATTTTAATTTTGTCAATATACAATGTAGTTAGTTATTGTGTCCCATCACCAAAACCTCCCTCCCTCCTCCCTCTCCCCCCTCCCACCCAGATGTGTCCCCTCCATTTTCTTGTTGTAAGAGCTTCAAAAAAAAAAAAAAAGTTGAGGTTGTTTCTGTGTCTACATTCACCCCCAGGTGATCACATGAAGTTCCATGATTTTAAATACCTTCTATATGTTGCCGAATTTATATGCCCTGCCTGGATGTCTCCCTTGAACTACAGATTCTTACATCCAACTACCTGCTCGACATCTCCACCTGCATATATAGTAGGCATCTTAAACTTACGTCCAAAAATGAACTGTTGATTTTCAGCCCCCAAAACCCAAATATACTCCTCCCATAGTTCTTCCTGGCAGACAGAAGTCTATTCTTTCATCTTCACATGCTAAAAATCTTGGTTTCACTTTGATCCCTCTGTTTCTCTCACATACCTCATCTAATCCTTCAGAAAGCAAAGGGAGAGAGTCCCAAAAAGGCTATTTCATCCAGGCCAGGTAAAAGTCCTAGGTCACCAGAGAATATTCTCCTGTAGTGACTGGAGTTAATGCATAACCTGCATGTATTCACTATCAATTCAACTAATATATTTGGAGCATCTACCATGTTCCAGGCAGTATTCTAGGTGCTAGGGAGATAGCAATGAAGAAAAACAGGTAAAATCTCATAGAGCTTACCTTCTACTTGGAGAGAGGGAGGAGAGGAGGACAGAAAACATGTCGGATGGTTAAAGAAAAATATACTAGAAAATGACAAAGTGATAGAAGGCTGCTGTTTTAGATAAGGTGGTCATAGAAGCTTCTGAGGTAAGATGACATTTCAGCATAGATATTTAAGCACATAGGGAGCCAAGGTGATATCCAGGAATAAATTATTCAAGCAGGAGGAATACGTGCAGAGGTCCTGAGGCAAAAGCGTGCTTGGGGTGTCCCAGGAGCAGGATGAAAACCTCTGTGGGCAGAGTAGCATGGTGAGGTGGGTAGTGGTGGGAAATGAGATGAGACAGAAGGAGAGCTAGAGATCATGTAGGCCTTGCAGCCAAAGAAAGGGATTTGGGATTTTTTTCTAACAGGCCAAGGGAGGGTTTCTAACACAGGTACACCATGATTTGACTTATGTTTTAGAGTAACTTACATTTTAGCAGCCTGACTGCTGCCTGAAGGACGACGGACTGTAGGGGCAAGTGTGGAAACAGGGAGACCAGTCAGGGGTCTGTTCCAGTACTCCAGGTGTGAGAAGGTGGTGCCTGAACTAGATGAATTACTGTGCAGGTGGTGGGAAGTACTAGAATCAGGATTCTTTTGAAGGCAAACCTGACAAGGTTTACTGAGCACTTGGTAGGTACACAATTCATATTTGTCAAATGCATGGACACACAGAAAGGAATATTATGGGGCAAGACAGGACTTTTCCCTGCCATCGACCCCCCCCTTGCTCTCCATGCTCACCTGCAGCTGTCTGAGGACTAATATTTTATCCCACATACCCAGACTCTAAGGAGGGGTGTCTTCAAGGCTGAACACGAGGGTATTGCCACTGGAAAATATCTATAATTCTAAGTTACTAAATTGGGAGTCTGGATAATTTGTAATCCTCTTGTTTAATTTTTCTCAGTCTGACCATCTGTTTGTGCAGGAAAGTCAGGCTCCAAACCTGAAAATCTGAGGCTTGAACTCTGGAACATGATGGACCACATGGTCCTTTAATATCATTGTGAGCCCATTCTGAGCCATTTTTGAGAAGTTTTTCTCATTCTAGCAATACATGCTTCTTATTACTCTTCAAACTTCTATTATAAAATTTCTGAATGTGAAATCAATATAATTGGGTAGGAGCCCAGTTTTCATTGCCAGAAGATTCACAGAGTACCTCTTTACTTCCAAACATCTTTCTTCAATTCCAAGGGTAGCAGTAATGCCTGCCAGGGCCAGGGCTAGGGGAGGCAAGCGAGGTGAATAGGGCACGATGCCGAGGGAGGCGTGTGTTCTCAGGGCTGCATAGGTGTAAGGCTGGCCCCTGAGAGTGAGTGCCCCCTTCAGTGTTGTGCTCAAGGCACCCACTAGCTTCACCCTAGTCCTGGCCTTGATGCCTACAGAGAAGCATTTTGGTTTATTAACCAGGCAGCTGTAGCATTAAGAGCAGGACCCGTTCCCTACTGCTTGGCCATGACTGTACAACAGAAATCTGTTCTCAGAGAAAGCAAACAGCATGGAAAAGAGCCATATTCTAGAAAGCTCTGCCAATTTAGAAATTAAAATCAGTGGGAAAATGGGGACAAACATCATGGAATTTTGCTTCATAATCAACTCAACAAGCAACTGGCATTCCGTTTGTTGAGGGCTACCTGGATCTAGTAATCGCATCTATAGCATTTCTATCTTGTTTACAATTCTTCAGATACAGCATTTTAAAAAGTGTTCATTCTCTACTATCTTCTTCTCTGCCTTCTTTATGCATATTACAAAAAAATTAACAGAACAAATAACAGCCACAGTGTAAATGCTTTGGATAATCAGGTAAGGAGTTATTTTTAAGGTTGGGTTAACAACTTCCATTTTCAGAATGAGCCCAAATTGACTGAGTGACTCTAATTTAGCTCTTTAGTTTTTACCCTAAACCACCGATAATGCCACTATTAATTTCAATTATTTAGAGGCAACATTAATATGTGTGAAACAAGAACAGTGATAAAGACAGAAAGGAATAAATTACTTGCTGCAGGACAGAATGACATTTTGACTGGCACAGAGATTTTTTTCTTTCACACACTTTGTGCTTTGACATTTCACTCGGCACAAACATTTCACAAATTCTTGACCTAATCTGATGTACTGTTGTTTAGCAATTGCTGACATGACATGTTTTAACCTCAGCTGACTGGATTCCAAATGTTACCTTTTCTTGTCAATAAGGGTTGGATGACCTCCAAAAAATAGTCTAAGCAAATGTCTATGAACCTAGGAGGTTAAGTGTGTTTGCTCAGAATGGAGAAGAAGCAGTTTGCAGCAGGAATTAGGAGAGGGGTGAAAGAGGCAGTGTCATTTAGGGCAATTGTGGGGTAAGAAGAGGGCGGAATCCCTAGGGAACCCTGACAACTTGGGAGAGACAACAGCCCCAAACATAAGATACCTAGGAATAAACCTAACATGAAATAGTGGGACATGTATGACAAAAAATAGAAAACTTAGGTACATACAAGATTTAAACAATGAAGAAATACACTATTTTCCTGAAAAGTAAGAATGTATTGCATGAAAATATCACTTGTTCTCAAATTACTTTATAGGTATAGCTTGACTGTCTGTAGGCCTCACTGCCTGTGGGTATGGAAGAGTTCACATTTGTATTAATACCTAGAGTTTGCTAGTTTGTTAGTTTCTATTGGCATCTTCTTTTTCCCAGATCATTACTCAAGAATAAACCAACTCACATTGCTCTGCTGTGATCTCTTTTTTTAGTGCTGCATCAGTTAGAAATGCTTTCAGTTACAAGTAATAAAACAACCCACCAACAGTGGTTTAAATAATAAAGGCATTTAATTGTCTTCCATTATTAGTCCAGAGGTAGGCAGTTTCAGGTGTGATCATCAAAGACTTAGGTTCCTTCTGTTTCCACTCTACTAACCTGGGAAAATTGCTTTCTGTCCTTAGGCTATTGCCTTGTGGTTGCAGATTGGAAGAGCCAGAGCTCCAAGCACAGTATCTGAACATAAACATGTCCAAGTCAGGAAAACGAGGCAGGAACAAAGGACTTTCTTCTCACAGGCTGGCTTGTGGTTGCAGATTGGAAGAGCCAGAGCTCCAAGCACAGTATCTGCACATAAACATGTCCAAGTCAGGAAAACGAGGCAGGAACAAAGGACTTTCTTCTCACAGGCTGTGTCTTTTTATCAGGCAAGATAAATTTTTTTTTCTAGAACCCTCCTACCCACTGCAGACTTCCCCTTACATCTCATCAGCCAAAGCTGTTGCCCACCTCTAGAGCAGTCACTGGCCAAAGGGAACTGCTACTGCCAAGAAGGCCTTTGACGAAACATGATCATCCACGCATGCTGGGAACATGGCTGCCCGGGCAAAACTGTGGTTCCATTGGCTATGAAGAAGGGGACATGGCTGTTGGGTAGGCAACCAATAGCTTTTTTCCTAAGATGCAATACCTACAGGCATTTGAGAGAGGCCCCTCACAAGACCACTGCTCTGTTGGCTGCGCCAGAGTTTTTGATCTGCAAGGCAGACACTCTCCCTAGTGGTTGCTCCAAGTCCTCAGAGTTTCGAAGCTGCTTGGCTGCTTGCAGCGAAGAAGGGCAGAGAGAGGCCTGCTCAGCAAAGTGCACTGTGTTTCCTGGATCTCACAGCAACACTCCTTGTGACCAGTCTTGCAAGGGTGCTCACAGAAACCGCTCCTGCCTCTGGCCCCTCTTCCATGGAGACTTTGTGGCAGACCCTGCAGGTGGGCTCACTCAACATCCACTCTCCTCTCCCTTCTCCCACCTCCATCTAGAGGCTGGAAGTTAGACATCATCTTGCAGCCTTCTTTGCAGGGAAGGGTAGTCATGTATGTGACAATTTTGGGCAATGCTAGGTAAGCAGAAATTTGCCAGGGGTTTCTGGAAAAATTTTTTGCTTTCCTGACAAGGACCTCAGTGTCAATTTGGAACACCTTGCCTCTTAAGTTCAACATGATCCCAGTCAAGTTATTAATGGGATTTTTAGGGGAGATGATAGCAAAATTATTCTAAAGTTTATCTGGATCAATAGACAAATGAGAATAGTTAGAATATAAGCTTTATTAGGGCAGGGATTATATAAAAGTAATTTCCTGTTTGTTTCTTCCAATGTTTTTATGCCTTAAAAAGACCTCCTCATTCTGAAGTTCATTATATATTTATCTTATTTTTTTCTGGTTTCATTTTTTTGTATTTAAAAAATCAAATTATCAAAAATCACCATAAGCAAACTTAAGAGACAAGCAACACACTGAGAAAAGTCTCCCTGTTTCAGTGTGGTGACAGAGGAGCATGATAACAGGGGTGGGCAGACTGCCAGTGCTGCTGGAGCATGGGGTCTCCTTTATAGCACAGGCTGGTGATATACTTTTATCCCCACACATTAGCATTATTATTATTCCCATTTTGTCAGTGAGGACATTAAGAAGTAAGGTAATTTGCCCAAGATTAAGTGGGATGAACTGGAATCCAAATCCAGGTGGCTTTGATGACAAAAAGCCAAAGTCTGTACTCTTTCTACTGTACCCCAGTGCCAAACAAATCCTGAGAAAGGTTAACTTTCCAATTGAATTAGGAATAATCAGAGGAGTGGGACAGATGAGGGTAATTTGAGACATGCTGTAGAGGGCAGGAGGGGTATGTACAATGTAGAGGTCAAATAGGGTCTAGGATCCTTGGGAATGGGCAGGTAGGAACAATGCACCTCCAATTCATGTTGCCTGTGACCTGGACTGAATTCCTGGTCACACACAGCCAAGGGAGTGTGTGGTGGAAAGTGTGCAGAACTTTTATATCCAATAGATCTTCCTTGATTCCCTTTCATCGCTCACTAACCACATGCCAAAATAAGAGTAAAACAAAATCCTTAAGTAATCCAACCATAGCCTCCACCAGATTACAATTTTCTTTCCTCCAAAGGTGCGAAGGTTGGGACTCTTCCTCCAGGTGTTCCAATTCCTGCCAGACTGCACACCCGGACACCACTGCTACAGTCCTAGAGCTACGTTTAAAGATGTAGATAAAGCAGTATAGATATTATGAGCAACAACCACCCAATAAGCACAATTTTATTTTGGTTGCAATTATCCACCCAAACTTCATGAATTAAATACTCCGTGCTATTTTTTCTTGGTTTGACATAGCATAAAGATGTTACAGTTGCACCCACAGCCATCCAGAGAATGGAATTTTTTATAAGCGCATTATATTTAAAGAGGAGTGGCCATTGTGTATCGATAAAGATAAACATAATTAAATAAAAATGATTACGCCCACCGTGGATAATTTCTACTAGTACTATTCATACAGCTGAACAATGAAATTCGTGATGCAATAGTTCCATTTCAAACTAATGTTGCTCAATTTATGGCCAGCTTTCCAAAATCTTAACTTCAATCACTGTCTTACTGAACACAATTATAGCCATAAATAATTCAAATTGATTAAACTTGAAGATGAAAAATTCAACTGATGAAAGATTACAAGGCCCAATAAAACTTGGCAAATTTCTAAGTACAGAACAGATAGCACAGGGAAATAGGCTTACATTGTTTGCAAAGACATTATTAATACGAGTAATATAATAATAAAACACCTGCTTATCAAACTGATCAATAGACAGAACTAAAGATTATCACAATCATGTTTTTCATAAGTAAAAATGACTTATGAGAATTTATATTATTTATCTTCTTTAATAATGAACAAGAACACTTGATTAAAAATGGCCATATTCTTTTCCTAGTTTTGTTTATTTGCTTATCAGTTTACAGTTGCTCTGAGCTACTGCTTTGATGTCTGTAAAAGCTATAATTTTGCTGCAAACCTTGAAATTAATTTGGAAGGAATTTGATGTCCAATTTTTTGGGAAACAATTAAAGAAACAAGAAGGTAAAACTAATCACAATGCATTGGTATGAACATATTTAAAGAGTGTGTGGGTGGAAAAACATATTCTTGCTTCAGATGGTTCTTTAAATATTTATAATACCATACTTACACACATATCAAGGCAGTTCCTGGTACAAAGTAAGTGATTAGAAAATGTTGAATAAATAACACACTTCTCCAAACACAGATAAGTGCACATCACCATGTCATAGAAACACTCTAAAAATGATGGAATTTTAAACATTAAAAAAGTCTACTCAAACGACATGTGGCATATTTGCTGGAGGGAGGTAGGGCCCAAAGTCCCTCAGACAAATGTCACCTCACATCTGTTTTGTTTGTTGCACAGCATGGCAATTTTAGCTACCTTTTCCAGATCCGCTTCAATTTCTGCACCTGTGAACTTAAACTCAAATATTATTAGAAAGGTTCCATCCTTCCCCTAGGGAAGCCACGTTTTTTACTTCTTATTTTAGAAAGAATCCTTGTTGGATTAGATGCACTTGTACAATTTTATCTGGCTTTTCAGGACTTCTTATAAAAAATTCTTTCCTTGTGGGTCCCCAGACCTGAAGGAACACTATATACCAAATTCTACTTTCATTATCCAGTTTATTTTACTGTTTCTAAGTGGGTCACAACATTTTGGTGTCCTACATTCATTTTAAGTCTCTCCCAAATCCATATAATTTTGTTTCTTGCTTCATTCCAAATGTTTAGTGAATGTCCAATCAATCCAATTGCAGGCTATGCTATTAGAGTTAAAAAGGACTTCCTTTACTAGCCATATTGGCCTAACAGTGCTCTTATTGGAGGACACACAAGGCATCACTCCTGCAGGGAGTGTCCTCAGGGACCACCAGGACCCCTGAACAAAACAGGCTCCATGGTGGCTGGGGTAGGGATGGGGTACGATGAGCAGAGCCTAGATCCCTGAGGATTCAGCCATGCACAGCTTACACCAATTGGTTGAGTAGAATTTACTCAAGACTTTTACTTGTGTATGTTTGTGGCAGATGGTCACAGGTGATGTCATGTTACAGAGTATTTGGATTCTGCCTCTCAGCTTCTCTCCATCCCTCTTTCTTTTTCTCTGCTCTTGAGGGGCCTTGGGAACACCCAAATAAGCACCAGACAATGCAAGTGCAATTCTGCTCTCGCCTGCATGCACTGGGTGCTGGGATGGTCTCCCCAGTGCATCCATTTCTCCATTCCTCCTTCCCAGCAGACCACTTTTATGTGAGCATCCATCTCTCCTCCATCTCTCCCCCATAGCCAATGCTTCAGGGGAAGCTGGCCCCCCTCAATTCCAGGGCTGGGCCTGATTGGTCCAATGAGATGCTCATCCCCTTTGTCAAGGATTGGGTAATGAATGGGCATGTGATCTAATCTGAGCTAATGAGGTGTGAGGACAGGTTCACTTCTGGGGAGGGACTTTAATTTCTCAGAGAGCTCCTGGCAGCAGCTGACTTTCTCCTTCTACAGCTGTTGCTGCACACAGTTGTGAGGCCAGACCAGCTGCAGGCATCTTGCCTCCAGCCTGAGGAGGAAGCCAAAGCGCCCAGGAAGGCGATGCTGGAGGGCGGAGGAGCGAACGCGTCCTGGCCAATAGAACTAAGAATAACTGGACAGCCCCCAAATGTACGCTTCAAACACCCCTACCTTTTAATCCACAATCTGGGAAGGCAATCTTTGTCCACTCACTGTCTCCCTTCCCTTCATGAAGAGGGACTTTTAAAAAATTGTGATAAAATATACACAACATAGAATTTACCATTTTAACCACTTTAAGTGTACAATTCAGTAGCAAATGGTTTTGCAAACATCACCACTATCCGTTTCCAGAACTTTGTTATCATTCCAAACTGTTACCCATTAAATATGATGAGAGACTTTCAACTGGACTGGATTCCAGCTGTAGACTGGGCCTCTGCTTCCTAGAGGAAGAGGTTACGGTGTGTTCGAATGTCACACACACGGGTGTGACTTTCTGGCTTTTTCTTTCACCCGCATAGCAGGAAGGGTAAGCTGTGTCAGGACCTGCCTCCATGGGGGGAGACCTGTTACTTCTCTGAGAAAGTACTGAGAGCGGGCTGGTGGTTGGTTAGATAAAAAGTCATTCATCATTTACCTGGAATTCAAATTTAACTGGAAATCCTATATTTTTATTTGCTAATTCTGGCATCCCTAGGGGAGGAGAGTGCAGCCCATTGAGCTTGGAGACTGGAGGACTTGAAAGACCGCTGACAGCAGTGGTGGACATCAGTGCTTGGCAATGAGGACCAAGCAAGAAGCCAGGGTCCAGCTGACACCCTGTTTCTTTGAATGAAAACCTGGAACACACACACTTCACATGTGCTCCTCCTGAACTTAGGTTGTGGGTGGGGGGAGGAACACAGAGGGAGAATCCTGAACTGGTTGAATATTAACCCAAAAGGACCTGAGAGAAAAAGCCTGAAAGAGACTGAGTTACTCTGCATTGGCGAGATTATGCAGAAGTGAGAATATAAGAACTAGGCTAAATTCAGTTATAATGTAATAAAGTCACATTTTCCACATCTGAGTCTGTGAGTGAAAATTTGTGCCTGCTACAGATAAGAAACAGAACTGATGAGATTGTCTCCGTGGTCCCTTCTGTATCGACAAGACCATGACTATAGAGGTGAGACTTGAGGCCCTTGAAGGAAAAGCAAGAGGGACATGGGTTAGGTAAGGGTGAGACATTTCAAAACCCCCTACTGAGTGTCTGGTTCTGGAAACCCAGCAAATGGGCATTAGTGGGACGGCATGAGAGGAAAATGATGACCAGTGCAGTGTCAGGCGTCCCTGTGTGGTTTGGGTTTGCTACTTTGTAAACATTTACACCTGTGAACTTGCTAGACTTGATTAATTATTAGTAACAGTGAGATGCAGCTGATTTACGCTGATTAAGCTGATTTAAGAGCTGTTCTCTTAGAAGAACTATGAACAGGCTTTCATGGGAACCTCTGGTGAGCAAGGACTTTTTGTAGGGAGAGCTGCATAGGACTCTAGACCCAGGAAGGCTGAAGGCCCGAGGGAATTGTTGCAGCCTGCACCACGTATAGCTTCTCACCTAAGTGAGCCCTGAGGGCTGTAAGCATCATTGGTTCTCCTTGCTTGCAGGGAGGGTGAAAGGCTTGATGGGGGCTCCCCCAACACTGCAGAGGGGAGAGGGTGCCTAGACAGGGGGGAGAAACATGCCAGACAGGAAGCTGGAAAGAAAGCCTTTCTAAGAGGGGAGGTGGGCTGAAGCCAATTTCAAGAGGCTGGAGAGGAAAACAGTGGTCCAGAAGGAACTGGCAGAGAAGAAGCACCTCTCCCCGGGCCGGGCTGAGGAGAGTGGCTTTGTGCTTCTGCTCAGCAGCTCCACACACTCATCAGCAGTTAGGGAGCATGGCCAGCCTCGGCGGGCACTGGCGGGCGTGAGCAAGGCTGTTCCCGCCTAGTGAGAAAGAGGTGAGTCACCAAAGTTGGTAACCAACTCCCTTCTGGGGAACACTGTGGCCTGACGCAGTGAACAAGGGTGAGTTGTCTTGCTAGAGCACGCAGGCAAGCGGGATTTGGGCAACACCCACCAGGATCTATCAGTGCCACTGATCAATACTCAGGCCTGTAGATTTGCCCTTGAAGTGAGGAGGCAGAAGAACCCTGACATACATCTTTACTGGCGTTGGAGGCTCTTATAAAAAACATGGAGGGCTGAGAGCTGAGGTGGGCAGAGGTCACAGGCACATCATGTTCCACGTTGAAGGTTGCCACTTGTGAAGAATAATGCGGAATGAAAATTGAAGTTTTAGCTACACTGGGTGTTAACTGGCAGGCTTTGGTTTTCTAGATTGTGGCTTTTGATACCAGTACTTCTGGCACAGATTGCTGAGTACTTTGCACCGAATCTGGGAAGACCTGTTTGACAGGAAACACCTACCTAGTTGAGAGATTCTACCCCAAATGTGAAAGGGTGGGGAGAAATTGGTCCCCAATTTCAATAAAACAATGAAACTAGGTATCAAGGAGGGTAACTACTATAGCACAAAAGAAATAAGGAAACAGAGAAGCACCCAGTAAATAGGTTAGAAACAGTGTGCATAGGCTTTGAGATCTATATGGTACAGTGCAGAATCAGAAACAAACAAAATATATTTGACGTTTTTACGCAGTGAGGTAAACATAATCCCACAAGGATGGGGTGTGATGGGAACCAACGGCTGGCCCAGGCCTGTTGTACCATGAGAAGAGTGTCAGGAAGGCTGAAGCTCAGAACAAGCCAAAGCTTGTGCGGGAAAAAAGTCTAAAGACAAGCAAAAGGTTTTTAAAAAGCTACATTTGGAGCAAGAAGAACATGGAAGGAATAGGCCTGCTGTTTGGGAAATTTAGTGCAATGTTTGCAAATGACCAAGGGAGAACTATACCGTCCCAGTGTTGCTTCTGTCTCGTCCAACAAAAGAATGCTTTTCAAGCTCCATAGAGCCCAACAAATACACAGAGGAGAAGGAAAGATAGAGGAAGTGATCCAGGCTCCAACAATTTACCTGTCAGGGATGTGCTTGCTGAAAAATGGTTGTTAATTAACTTGGTGCAGAAAATGAAGAATGGTGAGGAGATACAAGAGACCTGTACACAAAGGGATTTGAGTACTTATTTTAGAAAGATCCCCTTTATGTGGACTATCCTTTCCCAGCACTCCAGGGAGTATCTGCTAAGCTTAATGGACTAGTCTTGCCCCCCTACCTCCAAACCCTCTTTAATGCCAGGTTACAGCGAAAGGGCATAATGGAGTTAAATCTGCCGATTACAGATCAAGGTCAAAAGACTCACCAATTTCTCATTTTCAAAGGTAGGTGCATAGAGCAGAAAAGGTGGAAGGGCAATAGGAGGTCCTCTTGTCCTGGGGGCAGGGGAGGGAGCCACCATGTCATTCTGTGCTAAGCTGACACCTGTTCCCAGCAGGTGACTTAATCACTAATCCCTTAAAATAGCAGCTTGTTCCCTAAGCATTCGGGTTCCTAGTAAAAAAGGCTCTTCATTGGTTTCCTTTAAAGAGCAATACCTAGTCATAGCATGAAATTTCGAAAAATATTTTGGAAAGCATAAAGAATTAAAAAAAGTCAACTTTGACCTCATTTCCTAGAGATAGCCTTTGTTAACATTTTAAAGATATTGTTTATTTAGAATAAAATTCAGAATAAAATGTCTGTTATACATTTGTAATACAGAAAAAAGCTTAAAGAATAAAAACTGCCTGTAATTCTACCACTGCTAACATTTTGATGTTTTTCCTTCCAGTCTTTTTTCTTTGCATATATGCCCATATATACATACATACATAAATTTTAATAAAATATGAATCATACTGTATATAAAGTTTCACATCCTATTTTTGCACTTAATATTATGAGCATTTTCCTTATGATTAACTGCTGTTCAAGAGCATGATTGTAATTGGATGCCTGCCATTTTACTGTGCCACAGTTCATTTAACTATGGCCTCAGTGTTGGACTTTAGCTTGTTTCCAGTTCTTCGCCATTTGAAAATAATGCCATTGTAGACATAGACATTCTTGTATGAAAAGCTTCACTTATGATAAGTTTCTAAAGGTTGCATTACTAGGTCAAGGACCGCGAACACTTTTAAGGCTTTGGATACACATTGCTGCCTTGTCCTCCATTTCACACGCCCCCCCATGGGCGAGTGCCATTTCTCGTCCACTCCTGTTATGATTTGCAGTTTCTGTCTGATGCTTCAAGCCTCCCTGCTTTGTGCAATCCCACTGCACCACTGCCATCTTGTGTTCTCCCTCTGTGGCTTTTCTAGGAGGAAGCAGAAGCTCCGGTCCTTGGACTATTTGAAATGTTCTCTCTATATTACTCTAAAGTCCTTTATTGCTCCAAGGCTATTTTTATGTTGCTACTTTGCTGTGATATGGATCTCCCTAAGTCAAGCAAGCTGGGTAACTCCTACCTGTCCTCTGGACTCAGCTCAGACCTGTGTCGACTGTAAATCTTCCTCTGACACTCCAGGCTGTTTTGGAGCCTTTCCTCTGCTCTGCTCCCCACCCCCAGTCCTTCCCCATCAAAGCACTTAACACACTGTACTGTGTGTTTAGCTCTCTCCTCCCCAGATGTGAGCTACATGAGGCTTGGGATGTGTCTTTTTGTGCTGTATCTTCAGTGCCTGACATGCATTTGGCAGACACGGAGACTCAATAGGTGCTGGATAAGTGTTTACTTTATTTGAAAAATCCTTTAAGGTTCATCTCTATTTCCATACCCCAGATAACCTAGAGTTGACCTTGAGGCACATTCAGACTCATACGCACAAAAAGAAGGGAAAGAAAAGGCATGAAGAAAAGAGGAAAAATAGATCAGAAGATACATTATTATGCTTTTCAAATCTATATGATTTTTCATACGCTTTATTTTATGGTGTAATTCTAAGCACCTCCCGCCCCCAGAAAGGACAGACCCTCATGCCATGTGCTGAGATAGCACTCTATCATTTTTCTTCTCATCTCTCCCAATTGTTGGCATATAATTATTAGTGTTCACTGATGTATCCTCAATGCCTAGCACAGTGCTCAATGCACTGTAGCTATTTAGTAAATATTTATGAACTCCCACAAAAAATGTTATTATCTCCATCTTATAGATAAGGAAATGAAACGTAGAGAGTTGACATTTCAATCTGGGGAATTGGATTCCAAGTTTGCTGCTTATCCACTACACGTCAGCTGATATAGTGAGCTTTTTTCCCCCATGGGAAAGATATGAAAGTGGGGGGAAAATGGAAGAGGAGAACAATGCAGGGAAAGTAGAGAGGGCAGAGGGAGGAGGGAGTCACAGAGATGGGGACAGTGGAGAGAAGTGGCTTGAGACTGACATGTTGTGGTGAAGGGAGGAGAAGTGGAAAGCTGACTCCACATCAGACGCGGTGTTTTGTCACTCTACCAAGCTTAGTGAGCCAGGATGCCAGGCAGAATGGCTGTATTTCTAGAACCAGCCAAACATAAGAGTCCAACAGCACTTTGCCCACTGTATCTCTACATATTCTCAGGCCAATCAATGGCTTCATCACCCCAGCTTTGAGAATATACTGGATGGCAGTGGGAGAGGAAGTTCCCTAGTGACGTCCTCCAGAGAATCCAGCAGGGTCAGGCTGCCTCTTCCTGGTTTCATACAACAGAGTGTAGAGGGTTTAGGTGAAGCTTTTCTCTAGACAGGGAGATATGCCTTCTGGAGTGGTTCAGAGAAGACCAGTGAATGCTGTGACATAGATGTCACACTTTTCCTTTTGCAGCAGTGCCCACCGTAACATTTTTGAACTGTCAGGAAGCAGCAAAATATATTGATTAAAAGTGCGGGCTGTGAGCCAGACTGCTTGGGCTGGGATCCTGGCTGAATCACGTCCTTGTGTGATCTCGGGCAAGTTACTTAACCTCTCTGTGATCTAGTTTTCTCATTTCTAAAGTGGGGATAATAAAAGCTAACTCATTGGAATGTCGTGAGGATGTAATGGTGTAACGCATGTGAAGATCATAGA